CATCCAATTCACTTCTTTAATCCATTTTATCTTGTAATTTGTATATTAAAAAATTATAAAAATTATATATTAATAATCTATATGTTAAGACAAATCAAACAAGATCACACATGACTATTTTTAGACTTACACATTGAGAGAATTTGATGAGTCAAAGTGCTTAGATGAACAGTTCCAAAAGTCAAAACTGGACAAAAAGAGTGGGACGGAGGTAGTAATTTCTATAATTTTTTAATATACAAATTACAAGATAAAATGGATTAAAGAAGTGCATTGGATGGTGTGCCAAAAGGTAAGTGGACAAAGACAGTGGCAAGGAGGGAGTATTTTTTAAATTGTTGGAACAAACTAAAAAAAGTTGGAAGTTAATTTTTCTAATCCAAAAGAAGAGAGCCATATAGAATTGACTTTGGTCAAATGACAAGTTTTGGTGAGATAACATGCTATGGTAAGACGATACAATCAATTCTAAAGCTCATCATAATTTTTTCACACTTTGATTTAAAAAAATCAAAGGAGGAGGTGTTGACTTGGCTTTGACCCATGTTGACCTCCAATGACTGGACTTTGATAGTTGACCGCTGTCGCCCGCTGCCTCATGCTACCATGGATAGGTGGTTGACTAATGGTCTAACTTTTTTTATTTTTTAAAAAAATTATGAGTATTTGTGTCCAGATTGGTGAGCTTTGCATTAGTCCGACGTGAGCTTTGTATTTTGTTCTGATGAGAATGCGATCTTAGGAGAGAAATGAGAATGAATATATTGCTTTAGCTTGTGAGATCTAAGAGTCAGGATTGCATCAAAATTAGGTACACCAAAATGGTTTGAAAATGTATCATGTCGAAATGCACCAAAATCCTTTGAAAATGCACTATCTCAAAATCTAAGCGCAGGATGCAATCTGAGCCGCACGATGCATCAAATCCAACGGCTATATTTTATTCTCATTTTCTCCACAAGGTGCATTCTCACGGGAACCGTCTCCTATATGTGTGTGTATCAATTAAATAAAATAGTATTCTAAAAATATTTTGTAAAATAAATATAATACATTTTTTATAATATCAATTTTATTATATTTATGGTCAAATTTTACCAATTTTAGTTGGAAAAAATTTAAAAGTAGATAAATAAGACGGAAGAAGTAATTATATAGTATTCCGTACAATATTTTAAAATTGGTTAAAGGGCAAAATCGGCATTTGGTGCCATTGGGTGGCATGGCATTGCCTGACAAGCTTCCTTCCCAGACGCTGCTTTCACGCAGTGTAAAAGTTAAAACTCCGTCCCCACCCAATCAACCGCCGGGCGAGAAAGACCCCGACTCCATACCCACAACCACAAGCTTTCTTCTTCTTCTCCTTCTCCATAATACCCTATATAACTAACTATATATAGTGAGAGAAAAGACCATCTTCGACTTTCAGGCCATTGATGACGCTGAATCTCTAAATATCTCCCAAATCCTTTGCTTCCACCAGTTTAGCTTCTTCTCCAACCGAAACATCCAAAATTTTCCGGCGAGCGTTCGCGGCGGATATGGAAATTAGTGCTCCCCAAAGCGATTGCAGTAGAATGGACGGGTGGCTCTATCTGGTGCGCTCCAATTCGATCGGGCTTCAGTACTCCCGCAAAAGATACTTCGTTCTTCAAGATCACTTGCTCAACAGTTACAAATCCATACCCGACTCCAAAAACGAGGTCCCCATTTTCATTCATTTTTCTTCAGTGACCCGAAATTGATCCGGCCTAGGGCTTAGTTTAGCTGCGCGTAGTTCGTTTTGTTTTCTTTCCCTAATTTGTGCAGAGATTTGCTCATTTTTACTTCTTTTTTTGGTTTTTGTTTTTTTGCTTTTTTTGAAACATTGACGTGATTGTTTGAGCTTTGAAACGTTTGCTTTTGATTGTGTGGTCCCTGGTTCCGATTTTTTTACCTGATTTGATTTTTGGAGAAAAGAGCATGATTACTTTTGATTAGTTCAATTACGAAACACTTTTTCATGCTTTTTGATGAGATTATAAAGACATTCAAGTCCTGTATTGAAGCTAATTCCCCAACCATAATCATGTTACCTATTATTTTGTAGATCTTTTAATATACTCCATAGTTTTAAAATATACACGAATAAATTTTATTTTACCCCAATGTTTGAATTAAATGAATTGAAAATAACATCCTAAACCGTGCGCCCCTAAACCGTGCGCCAAGAATTCAATGGGATGGTGCGATTATTTGTTAAAGTTTGAGTGTTGTGCTTTGGCAGTCTTCATGTAATCTCAGATTATTTTTTTTCCCAATAAAACATAACAAGTGTGAGCTCAAAGTGAAACTTTGACATTTTATCAGGATCCTGTCAGAAGTGCAGTTATTGATTCCTGCATTCGGGTGACGGACAACGGGAGAGAAAATATAAAAAGAAGGGTATGATCCTCACTTAGATTGCAATGTTGGCTTGCCTGTGCATTTTTCCCCTATCATTACGTTGAGCCTTTGATATCCACCCTTTTTGGGAATATTTAATGGTTTGTTTGTGTGCTTTTGCAGGACATTTTTGTTTTCTCTCTTTATAATACTTCAAATCATAATGATCAGCTCAAGGTGAGTAATCTTTTTCTTTTTGGGAACATCAATTCAATACCATGGGCTAATTTATATTGGATGTGGTATTGTTGTGGAAATATGTATTCTTAGTTGGGAGCAACCAGTCCTGAGGAAGCTGCGAGATGGATTCAGGCTATCCAAGAAGCAGCTTTGAAGGTATTAGCTATCAAATATGGAGTACCAAATCATTTAGAGAAAAGAATAAAAAAAGCCTAGGCTCTAATGTTGTCAATTTATAATGATGCTTGTAGGCAGAAACAAACCGGGGAAATGCATTGGATTTCCCAGTGCACGACTCACAGTCTTTAAGGTATATTGATTTAATATATGCTGTGATTCCATCTTTTATATGGCAGGTGAAATAAAACATTTAATCCAGAAAGATTGAGTGCTTTTGTTGGGTCTGATTTATTCTATGTGAAGATGAGTAATGTTCATCTACTTTGCATGCGTTGAATTGTTCTCACAGGTCTCGTCGCCAAACTTCAGTTGACTGGACTTATTTTTCTTCATCAACTACAGATGCGAGATCTGATGTTGTTGCATCCTCTTCTTGGACAATCTTTGGTTGTAAGAATGGTACTTTTTTTTTCAGTCATCAAGCTATTTTCTTAAATTGCTACATTGTCATAAACAGGGGTTAGCAAGAAACCAAGACTCACTAATGTAGTTACTATATGCTTTGCTTCAATTTTTATGTTTCATTACTAAAAAAATTTAGTTCCCTACTTAGTTACATTGTTCTTCATGCTTATTAAAATGTTGCATGCAGGACTACGGCTGTTTAAAGAAACTAAAGACAGGGAATCTCAAAAGAGGGTTAGTGATATCAATGTGGCTAATTGGGTATTGGTAGTAAACTTATACAGAGTAGATCCTATAGGTTGTTGAACATGTTCATGTGCTTTGTAGTGGGATGACAATCCAGCAATAATGGCTGTTGGAGTAGTTGATGGAACTTCAGAGGCCATTTTTCAAACACTCATGTCTCTTGGTCCTTCAAGATCAGAGTAATTTTCATATCACACTATCACAGTGCATAACTTCATATATGGTGACTTATATGCCAAGGCTTAATGGCCTCATTAATCATCATCATGATCTAGTGTAGTTTCAATAGGTTAGTACATAGTACTTGAGTATGTAGCATGAACTGTTGGGCTACCTTGTTTCCAAGTCAAGACAGTTAAAATCAAGAATGCGAAATATCAGCTGCAGAGTGCTCAAAGTAGAAAATCAATGTCAGCTGATGGAATATATTTTTGTACCTTAACCTTAACTGGAAAAACACACTGAATTGGATTTGTTGAACTAATCTTTGAAAATAAACTAATTACATCGGTATCTCATCAACAACGGCATGTTATGCTTATGTCAGAGCCTTATGTATACATCATGGATAGCACTGCTGCACAGTTCAAGTAAGATACACCAAAAAATGTTCTACTTTTCTTTAATCAGAATGGTGGAGATAGGTTTACATTCTTCCTTACTTTAGTTTATTAAATGTGTCCTCTGCTGAATTATATCATTTAAATCACACTTCGCCTCTCCTGCAGGTGGGACTTCTGTTTATACAAGGGAAGTATGATTGAACATCTAGATGGCCATACTGATATAGTTCATAAGTGTCTGCATCGTCATTGGCTTCCTTGGTTTGATGCTTATCTTCAATTCTTTGTTTTTATGAGGACTTGGCTTTGAGTGGATAATTAACATGTTTCTTCATAGGGGTATGAAGAGAAGAGATCTTCTTCTGCAGCGCTATTGGAGAAGGGAAGATGATGGGACATATGGTAATAATCATTTCTTCTAAATGTTAGTCTTTCAAATGGCTTGGAACTCTTAGATCAAGGGTAACATTTTCTTGTTTTCATGCAGTCATTCTGTATCATTCTGTATATCACCAGAAGTGTCCACCTCAAAGCGGATATGTCCGTGCCTGCCTTAAAAGTAATGTATGCTTAACACATCGACAAGTTGTTGTGTTTGCTTTATTTTTTTTCTTTGGTGTTCGACATACATTACACACTATACATTAGAAATCTGTTGGTATATTTATGTTTCTTCCACAATAAGATCCATTGTGCACTCCATGCAGGTGGTGGGTATGTAATATCACCGGTGAATCAAGGGAAGGCCTCAGTAGTTAAACACATGCTTGCTATTGATTGGAAATTCTGGAAATCTTATATACAAACATCTTCTGCTAGCTCTATAACCATCCGCATGCTAGGGAGACTTTCTGGTATGTTTTTGTCTTCCACCAATCACGGCGTGGCAGAACTGGGGAACTTTTGCTTGTTTAATACTTTGTAACATTTATCTGTTAATACCTAAATGTATTGTATTTATTACATAGTCACTCTGTCTTCAACTTTTATTTCTAGCTTTAAGGGAGCTGTTCAAGGCAAAAGTAGGAGAGTGTTCTTCTTCTGGTTCTTCGGGTGAGCTGATTAGAGGGAGAAGATTTCATAAATTTGATGAGGACAATATTGAAGCCCAAACAAGATTAGAGATTGGGAAGCATAAGGAAGGTACAGAAGTGGTAAAGGCGCCATCTGAACATGCAAGCCTTACGGGGTTAAATGATGCATCCGATGAATTTTTTGATGTACCTGAGCCATTAGATTTGGATCAATCAGATAATGGTTGGGCATCTGACTTTGGGCTGGAGATGTGCTCTCAGGTAGTGTGTTACACATTTGGCATTTGAAATGTTATAACATGACAAAGCTGTAACTTCACGCTGGTCATGCTATACCCCTTAGCTGTAACTTTGTGCTGGTCATGGAATAAAATTGTTTACACATCCATGAAGTTAACAATTTAAATGTTTTCTGATTTGTATGATGTTAATGCCCAATTTCTTGCCTCAATTGTTCCTTCAGATGTTTTTTTCCTCTTGAAGTTCAACAATTTAATTGTTCGTTGATTTGTTTTTTCCAGGATACACGGCATACAAAAGTGTCACCTGCTGCTGTGTTGGTGAAGAAACTGCATGATCTTGCAGGTTAGTTTAATAGGACTTTTTCCAGAACATATCTTGTCTTTGAACACCTGACGTTTTGATATCATTTTCCGTCAACAGTTCAAAAGAGGGGTTATGTAGACCTGCATGAGATGGTAAGGGAAGATTGTTTACTATGCAACTATGGGTCCACCCTCCCAAAAGATCCAAGTTGTAATTTGCCTTGCAGTTGGACTGAAACAGATCCCTCAACTTTTCTAATACGCGGAGAAACTTATTTAGATGATCGTAAGAAGGTGGATTTCATTAAACCTAAGCTTAAGAATACACCCCACTCAAGTTCAATACGAACTTTCTAACATTACCCATTTTCCGCACGATGTTCTATAGATTAAAGCAAAAGGCACATTGATGCAAATGGTCGGTGCAGATTGGTTGAAATCTGATAAACGAGAAGATGATCTTGGTGGTCGGGAAGGGAGCATTGTTCAGGTTTTTCTAAATATCAATGGCAATTCACATTTGATCCTACATTTTTTAATATAATGGCTCGGTTAACTTCCAAACGGTTTTGAGAATCCAATTCCAAGGTCATCTATGAGGTTGATGTGTATTACCTTTACGCTGTAGAAATATGCTGCAAAGGGTGGGCCGGAGTTCTTCTTCATTGTTCACATACAGGTGAAAATTTAGTCTGTTGTTTTACACATGCTAGAGAAGAAAATTATTGTAAGATTTTTATTTTAACACTAAACACTGTTAGTCCAGGGGCCTAGTTGCTGTATATCAGAACGAAATATGATATACTACCTATGAGGAGATTTTCTACGTGGAAACGAATTTTCGAAACATCTTCCCCTACTACGAATATCCTTAAGTTCCAAGTTTGAATATGGAAAGTATAGGTTCCAAGGTAATCTTTTTACAACGTCGGTATGAGAAGTTAAATCCTCTTAAGGTTATTTATTTTGTCTAAATTGACCCTTCTACCGCTATTAATTCTTTTGAATTTTCAGGGACCGTGGATAGTCAAACAGAGTGTTGGGCGGAAAGCATGCCTTATAGGGCAAGCGTTAGAGGTAAATTATTTCCGCGGGAAGAACTACTTGGAGGTACGTTCCATAATAGTTCATGTTTTTTTAAATTTTGAATAAATGACTATATTGATATAGCAATTAGCGAAGTGACTATATTGTTCCACACTTAATATATAGCATACTCAAGTAGCTTATTCCGGTTAGTTTTGATGATGAGATCAACACATTTTACTTTTACAAATTCAGCTTGGAGTAGATGTTGGGTCGTCGACGGTGGCAAGGGGTGTGGTTGGCCTTGTTCTTGGTTGCCTAAACAGTCTTGTCATTGAAATGGCATTTCTCATTCAGGTAGAAACTGGAAATGTCTTTCTTTTTTTCCTTCAGCAAAAAAAAAAAAACTCATCAATTTGATGTGATACTCTAGTCTAGTCTAGTATGAAGACAACATGAGTTTGGGTTTGAACAGGCCAACACAACAGATGAGCTTCCAGAATGTCTCATCGGAACCTGCCGTCTAAACCATCTGGATGCTTCTAAAGCTGCTCTCTTGAACCATTGACAAAATACATCATATTAAATTCATTGGATTGGATTTCCCTCTAATTGCATTCAAGTAAAGCTGCACAGAAGAAGAAGACACACAACATAACATGGACAGATGGGGTTGCCCACAGAAATCACAGAGCATTTCAACATGTGGGTATTGGCATATATATATTTTGTAAATTGTTGTGAATACACATTTCTTGTACTGGTCTGGGGAGTTTGAGATTTCACAGATTATGAAAGACTGAAAAAAATAAAATAATCTTCAAAATCTTTTTTTATATATACGGAGTATAGAAATGAGACAATGAAGCTTTGAAGGGGTTGGCAGAATGGAAATGAGAATCATGTGGACAACTACTGCCCTATCATTTATTGGTCTCTACTTGTGCTCCTTCTGACTCTTCTGACAGAACGTTTAGTTTTTTTTTTATTATATAAAAATTTACAAACCAGATTTTTTTTGTGTTTTTAATAACTGACAAAGTGGGAGGGGAGATACATGCACCAAAACGATTCACATTTATATTTGCTGATGAAGTGTGGCATTAATTGGTGCACATGAGATGGCATGTGTTGGAGTATAGGGTAGGCCTTATTGATAATGCACAAAAACAAGAAGAGTAAGGGTACCTAGATTTAATTGTTGGATTTCTTATTTGTGTGCATGATAATTAGTTGTCCATTTTCATATTTAGGAGTAAATATTGTGGTGAATTATCTAAAATAGTCATTAGATAACATTTTTATCATTGACTTCTATTAATCTTAAACTTGCTTAAGTGGCTTAATGTGTAGGTTTTTTCACTAGATTTATTTATTATTTCACTCAATCTCTTCAACTGTGATATATTTTAAAATCTAAACTAATATAGATAAAGGGAGTATGCTACTTCCTCCGTCCTAATTTATAGTGCATGTTCACTATTCACAGAATCAAACTTTATTAACTTTCTTTATCTATTTTCATTAGCAATTTGAGAAAATAAAATACTATCGTCACTATTAGTTTTGTAGATCTTTTGATATAGTATTTTAATATGTAGTTTTTATTTTTTAATTATATATCATTTGTCATATAAAATAATTTGAAAATAATTCCAATCAAACATCGTAAAGCGAAACAGAGACTATAAATTGGGACGCAGGGAGTACGTATTATTTATTTTTCTATATTGAAAATATCAGGGTCTTCTCAAACATTTTTTGGGCTAGAGCAAAAATTAAAATGTTTTTAAAGAATAAAAATGTATTATGTGACAATATAAAATTCAACGACATTGTCAAGCCTAATACTCCCTCCGTCCCATTTTAAATTGCCTGTTTGCCTTTTTTCTCCGTCCCAAAATAAATTGTCTGTTAGTTGTTTTCATAAACTATTAAAAATAAAATACCTAAACTACCCTTAAAATAAGTCATTTTTTTTCACATTATCTTCTCATTCATCATTACCCCTTATAAAAAGTAATGTCAATTTTGAAAAATCAACTCTATTTTTTATTTTCCTTAAATATGCCCAAAAGTCAAAACGGGCGATTTAAATTGGGACGGAGGGAGTATTAATTAGTTTATCAATATAACCTGCTTATTTTTATAAAAAGACTATGACTTAAAATTAGAGTTAATAAATATAGATCTACATAAATTTAAAAATTTTAATTAAAAAATCAAATTATAAAGCAAATTATAGACTCAGAAAAGATAAATCTCATCATTAACCTAATAAAAAAATAAAATCAAATTAACTTAATAAAAGCTAAAAATGATATGATATCATAATTTTGATTATGAAAATGATGGAAGGATGAGTGAAGTCCATTGACCATTAGAGCAATGGAAATGCCCATGGCGCCAGGGGCGCCATCGGGCGTTTAACGCCTCCTCAATGTTTAACACTGCCACCCTTTGGCGATACTTCGGCGTCATCCCAGCTGCGTAAAATGTTTAACGCATGCTGTGCATTGATCCCCTCCAACGGCTATTTTAGCTGTTACACCGTAAAAAAACCTTTAATTTAATCTTTTTTTTATAAATATCAAACCCCAATCTTCAATCTTCTTCACATCTTTGTTCAATCTTCAATTTCATCCACACACATTCTTCAATCTTCATCAATTTTTTTTTAATTTTTGTTAACATGAATTCCTCTGGTTCTTCTCCTGGCGGTCTCGAGCTAAACGAATACGAGATGTGGCTCTTTCGAGCATACAGGAGTAATCAGTCGTTGTTGGAAGCGTACGTGAATACCCCGTTGTTGTTCGAAACGCAAAAATCAGTGAACCTCAATGACCAGGAGTCGGTTCCGGAAGCAATTACACCAACGGGAACCAAAAAAAGTGCACGCCTGAAGAGTTACAAAGCAAAAGGCGATAAACCGATGACCGAGGCGGCACAATCAATCCAAAAGTGGATGCCGGAGGAAGAATCCTTGTTGGCATCGGCTTGGGTTGACGTCTCTGAGCATTCTATTGTTGATAAAATTTATATGTTTTCTAATATATTTGTGTTCTTATTTATACATTTGTGTTAAAAAAATTTTTGTTCCATTATATACTTTTAAAACGTTCAGAGAAACGAAGGATGCGATGTGGGACCGAATCGAGGAGAAGTTCTTTGCGGCGATGAGCAAGGACGCCTCGTACCGTACCCGAGACCAACTCACTTTCAAATGGGGCCACATCAATTGTAAAGTTCAAAACTTTATCGGAGTTTATGAGGAATGCTCTCGGTCTCGGAAGAGCGGGACGAACGATGCCGATGTTCTCTGGCTTTCCACGGCCCAATATCAAGACGACGGGCACCAAGGCAAGGTGCACATCGATCTTTGGAGAATTTTAAGTTGTTCACCGAAATGACAACAACTCAACAATCCAGAGGCCAAATCCTCAAAGAAAAGATCCTTCGCCGAGTCGAGGTTGAGTTCAATGACACTATCGATTCGTCCGAACAAAGGCCTCCCTTCGATAAACATGATTCTGATGACGAGGACCCCATTCCACGGCCGATCAGAAGAAAGAAGGAAAATCTATTGCCTCGGGTTCTGGAGGATCCAGCTCTGTTTCTTCTCACGACGATATCGGTCGGGTAATGATTGAACAACTTTAAGGGTTCAATATTAGAGAAGAAGAGAGGAAGAAACGAAGGCAATAGAAGGAAGAGATCTAAATAATGGAAACCGACCTTGATAAGTTATTGGCTTCAAACGTATGCTATTCGAGAAAAGACAAAAAGAGATCAAGGCTAAAGATAATTTGCCTTAGTTTTGTTATTAATGTATTTTTTATTAAAAGTTATTTTTTATTGAATCTAACTTTTATGAATTATTGTCTTTTTAATTTTTTATTTAATGAATGTAATTTTTTTAATGAATTATTCTTGTTTCAATTTAATTAAATAATTAAATAATTAAATTTTATTAATTTATTTTTAGAAGATGTGTATTTAAAATATAAAAAATAAAGGTTTGAAGCCCCAGAGTTTCAAACCCATTTCGAGTGAATCTGTGAGGTAAGTTAAAGCTGATGCGGCAGAGACAGAAAGTTTGAAACCCACGGGCTTCACGAGTGTTACTAATGCTCTTATGTTCAAAACCAATAGAAGAATTAGAATGGAAGGCTCTAGCATAGAGACGCTACCAATAACATTGCAACTAGGGGTGGGCACGAATCCTGACGGTCCAAATTTTAGGTTCTCCCACGTCTTGGCCCGTTATATATAAACGGTCCGGAACGGTTCGGATTATAATCTTATCCCGGTTTGTCCCATAAAATTTGGGATTGGAATAAACCGGGATGTATTCGGGTCGTCCTACTTTGTCCTAATCGCAAATATAAAAAGGGAGAGAGGGTGAGATTTCATTCAAAAAAAAGAAACATCTAGCCATCCAATAAAAAACAATGAGTGGAACGGGTCCAAATAAATTTCAAGCCCATGAAGTTAACTTCATTAAACAATTAATTAATTAAAGAATGAGTGTATTTGAATTTTGGACTAGAATTAGTATTATATATTAGTAGAGTAGATGAAACGGGACAAACGGGACGGATTGCTATAAATTTAAGCTGTCCCGCTCATGTCCCATTTGATATTGGGAGGGAAGGGTCCGGGATTTTTCGAAACGGTCCAACGGGAACAGATTTCACGCCCACCCCTAATTGCAACAGGTAGTGATGTAAGCAAATCAAACAATTTTAACTCCATTCGTGATTCATATTCGAATATAATGATTCGAATGTACATTATTCAAATACAAATTTAAATTCAAATACGAGTTTTGATTTAAATATTTAAAAAATACAAATACAAATAGAGTTATATTCGATTCGATTGATATTTGAATATACACACACAGAGACACACAAACACCATTTGTTCAAAACAAGTAGTCTAGAAAACTTATACTACCTCCGTCCCAAAGTATTTATTTAGTTTTGACCTTTTGAGTCAATCATTTTCAACCTTTGACCTATAATTAAATAAAATATATATTGTATATTTATTATATAAATTAATATTTTCAAAATACTTTATATAATAAATCTAATAAAACTATTTTTGTATCAATATCTACTATCATGATTATTTAATTTAGGACCAAAGATTATAAATGTTAACCGAAAAAAATAAAAAATGGACAAATATCCCAAGACGGAGGGTGTATAGAATAATGAACATTTAAATAACTAAAATTTGGTCAAATTAACGTAACATAAAAATCTAAAGTATATGACTTTCAGTTGTTATACTTTGCATTATATAGATAAACAATAACTTGTGTAAGATTGTGTAAAGATTTAGATGTACTATAAAAAATAGTGTAAGTTAAATTATTAAAAAACGTCCATTTAAATTATAGTTGATGAAATATGGAAAATTCTAATTATAGAATTTAGAGTTTGTTTTATTTAATTTATATTTTTTTTTACTTATTACTTACTCCATCCGTTCTAAAATAGTACTCATAGTTTGACTATACACGATATTTTAAAAAAAGTGAAATTTTATGGTTAAAAATGATACAGAAGAGAGAAAAAAGATGAGTCGCAAAAAGTTTTTTAAAAAAAGAAAGTGAAAGATTAATTTGGGACGATCCAAAAAAATAAGGAGAATCAATTTTGAACGCAAGGAGTATTACTATTGGAATTAGATTAGAATTTTTTTTAAATATAAATACAATCAAACCAAAATTTAATCAAAACTAATCAGAACTAAATAGAAAGTTAGAGAGGACACTCTTAAGGGGTAAATTTCACCAATGGTACCTGAACTTTAGCTGGAATTTTGAAGTGGTACCTGAACTTCAAATCTTTTCACAAAAATCCCTGAACTTACACAATCCTTTCACTAATGAGCCATTAGCCCGTTTCTAGGTTAACTTCCG